ATTTTTAAATGAAAATAATAGAGTTGTTAAAGGCTTTAAAAATGAATTAAAAAATTTGACTGTTCATTTTAATATATTAGTGGATAATCCAATATGTGTTATGAATCAAGCAATGGTTAAAACATTTCATAAAAGTGCAAATCCAAGTGCTAAGTATGATCTTTTCTATAAAGCTATATCTGCAAATGTATATAATGAAAATATTGATGAAACAAAATCAATTGCAAAAGAGTACTGGGAAAAACTTGAAAATGTTAAAAATGTTTTAGAACAATGTTTCAAAGAAGTAAAAGATTATGAAACTTATGAAAAAAAAAGTAAACAGTTAGAAACATTGAAAAATTGTAAAATTCAATTGGAAAATGAGTATGCTTGGTATTTTGTTAATGAACATGAAGCTACTTACGAAAGATATTTAAATGAAATTGAATCTCTTAAAAGTAATATGTCTGAGAATATAGAACAAACAAATATTTTGGAACAGAATATTAAATCAATTTCAGAAGTCTTGGGGGAAAAAAAAAATGAATTGGCAAATGTTGAAAATTCTCGTTCAAACAATCATATGGTTTTCGTACAAACAAAAAAAGAATTGCAGGAAAAAATCATTGAGTTAGAATCAGTGAATCAATCTGTTAGAAAATATGATTCTGCTTTAAAATTATTAATCAGTGATAGGAAAGATTTAGAAAAACACATTGAAGTTGAACGTCAAAAAGGCAATACTAATACTTTAGCGCAGTATAAAGAAATGTTGGCACGTTATGAGCAAAGTTGTTCTGAAGTAGAGGCGGCATGGAAAACAAATATGGAGCATGAACAAACTCTACGAAATACAGTTGATGAATTAAAACAAAGGATTGGAAATTTAAGGAACAATGAGATTACTCCCTTACAAAGAAAAATAGGTGAAATTAATAGAAATATCAGCAGTATGTCGCAACAAGAAGATAGAATCAATTTTTATGGAAACTGGATGCCACAATTAGTTAAAGCTATTGAAGTCGCTTTTAATCAAAAAAAATTTATAAAAAAACCAATAGGTCCTATTGGAGCATACATTAAAGTAAACAATGACAAATGGATATTTGCAATTGAAAATTACTTAGGTCGTGGAAATTTAAGAACATTTTTAGTTGATAATTTTACAGATAACAAAGTACTTCAATCAATAATGGATAGAATAATTATGGGAAACGTAAGAAAACCTACTGTTATTACTAGCAAATTTTTTGACAAAGTTCATAACATTACTGCTAAAGAAACTCAAAATAATTTGTTCCGTATGTTAAACTTCACTAGTCCTATAGTAGCTAATTGTCTAATTGATAACAACCGTATTGAGACAATAATGCTTGTAGATGACACAGCGAAAGCTATGCCTATAATGGAAAATATATCCCAAGTTCCTAGAAATTGTAGTTTTAGTTTAACTTTAGACGGAACTCAAGTTTATCCTAGTCCTTCATATAGAGTGTATTCTTTACAAAGTGCAACTGAACCAGTTCTCTTGCAAAGTGATGTTTCGGTTGCTGTTAATAACTTGAAATGTGCGAAAAAAGAGTTGGAAGTAAAAATTAATAATATAAACAGAGAGTTTGAAAATTTTGAACGCTCAAAAGTAGAAAAGCAACAACACTTTGATAAGGCTCAATCAGAGTCACGATTACTTAAGGCCAAGTATGATGAATACTTAAAAAAAATAAATGATCTTAAAACTAAATGTGAAGAAGAACAAGATGACAGAATGGCTACTCTTACTGAAGAAATTAATGATGTTGATTTAAAAATAGCTAAAGCCAAAGAAGTAAAAGATAATTCCATGAAACCAATTCCAAAGTTTGAAAAAGAAATTGATTTATTAAATAAGAGAATGCAAGAAATAAAATGTATTATTGAAAAGACTGATCGTTCTGCATTAATGAAAGAAATTGAAAGCCTCCAAGCTAAAATAAATAATTATAAAACAGAAATGTTGCAAATTAATAATAATTCATCTGAGCGAAAACAATTATTAAAGAATTTAGTTAAGAAAACAGAAAATGAAAAAAAAAAATTTGAAAAAGAAAAGGAAATAGCTGAAAAATTATGTGAACAAATGCAGGTAGAACGTAATGAAGAAGATATAAGGAGAGATATAGAAGAAGCCATTCATAAATATAAGTTATTAGAAATGGAGTTGAATAAGAGAGGTGAAAACCATCTAGCCTTGAGAGATGATTATAAGAAGAAAAAAGAAGAATATATTCTTCAAAGTGCTTTATATAAACAAATTGTAGAGATTTATAAAGTCAACAAAAAATCTGTTGAACTTAGTACAGAAGCACTTCAAAACTACATTGAGTATGTTCGGTTGAAAGTAATTGAATCTTTTGATTTGGTGCTGATGTTACGCAAAATTAAAGGCAAACTTGAAATTGATCAGCATGAACAAAGTATGATAATTTCAATGTTTGATAACATAAGTACTTCGTGTGCCTCTGGTGGTGAACGGACATTTGCTACAGTAGCTTTGATTTTAGCATTGTGGAGCAACATGCAATTACCATTTTACTCCATTGATGAATATGATGTATACATGGATAATGTTAATCGATTAGCCACTACTCAGCTGCTGATGATGGCTATTGAAAATCGTAAAAACCAATTTATATTTCTCACTCCACAAGACATATCCCATATAAAAAGTGCTGATAATATTAAGATAGTTAAATTAAAAGAACCTAGATCTTAAAAGTTATTTATTATTAGTTATTACTGTTGTAATATGTTATAAGTAACTAGATTTTATTGTCATTTCAAATATTATAGTTAAATAACATTGCTATTTTGATATTCATTTTTTATATTTACTTTGGACAATACTTTTATACAAGTGTTAATTTATATTAATGTACTTGTATCAGTACTAAACATAATTTAAATTTCTGTTCCAGTTGATAAGAAGGACAATATTTTACATTTACCACAATGTAGTTTAATTATACTTAAAGCAAATAATAATTATTATTTTATTCAAAAAATAAAATAGATGAAATCAGTTTATATAAATGAATGAAATACTATTATAATATAATATACCTATTTATTACTATTATACTTAATGTAATGTAAAACAATTTATATGTTATTCATTATTTTCAAATAATCATTATAATTATTCTTCAATCTCAAAAATGTATTTATATTTTATTGTTTTTGTTGATGTTAACTTTGACATAACAGAAATTAAAAAAATTATATACTGAACAAAACATCATGCGAAATTTAAAAATTACAAAAATAAATAAGCTAAAAAGTGACTGTGATTATATTTTGTTCTTTCCATTATCAATTTCTGCTCAAATATGAAAACATGATGTCATGATGGCGCATCAGCTATAAATTTAAATTAAATACTCATACTATGATACACAAATGTTTGGCGAATTGTTTTAATACTTTTTGACCCCAGATGTGTTTGTTGCATTGGTTTTTGATTGTTTACATACCAATACTGTAAATGTTATGCACACTATTTATTTTTATTATAATTTTTTTTAAAGTTATAGTATAGTTAATTACGATTTACAAACATTTTATAAATTTTAACGAGTTAATCTGTAATTGCCATGTTAACTGTGGAATACTATCATGCTAATATACATACTATATTATTGTATGTTGAATAATGGTTTATTGGTTTTCATGAATTTTTTAATAACTTTTATAGAGCTACTACATAATATGGAGTATTGTTTAGTGAGTGATACGTGTTCGTTATTCAGTGGAATGTAAAACAATCGAGTTTCTGTTCTAGACATTTTTATTCTTTTTCAGTACTAATACTCAAAAGGCACTAACCACTAATGCACTACCATGCAAATTTTTGAAATGAATCATAATTTTTTATCATTGACCATGATTTATATTTTATATGCATTATTTTGAACCATGACCCTCTTTGGAATTTATGGCTTGTACGATTACGCATTTATACATGTGCATAAGTGTATATTTCATGAACAATCAACATTCTTAAGAAACCAATTTGAGTGTAAGTGTGTAACCATACAAGTCTGTATAAAACGATCGTTAAAGAAAACATGTAATATTATTGTGTATGGTGAATCGAATAGTATCGGGCTCAGACTTGCCGTGAACACAGGTAATAATATACAACTATACAAGTATAAAATAACACGGATTGTATAATTTAATTATTTACACAAAAATAAAAATAATACTTTTGAAATTATATGCACATGCGTGATCGTACAAGCTAGTAAGCTACAAATTCTAAAGAGGGTCATGGTTCAAAAATTCAAAATAAATAATAATGCATATATTTTCCGAAAAATGCAAAAAACATGAATAATCACAACGGCCTATACTACGCGGATTAGAGTAGCGACCACAGAATAGATGAAATCTATATTATTTCATCCATAGAACAATATTATATATTTATATTTCATCTATTCTGTGTAGCAACCTTAGCGTATGCAGCGCACCCTGTGGCCGTTTAATCGTGCTGCGTCTGCTGCCCTTTTCGATACGTTTTTTCATGAGGCCGTACGAATTTCGTTTCCTTCATCCTTCATGTTTCTGTGTGATTATCTAGTCGTGATAAATAAAACTTCGTTTATCAGAGAACAATATTGAGATAAAAGAATAATATACATAAAGTCCATAAACCATTATCCATTTGATAAATAATATTATGAGTTATTTAAAATGTGTAAAAAGTTATTATATTTAAATATATTAAACTACAAAATATGTTCTCTTTAACTTTTGTAGTTTATTCTTCGTAAATACTTGACAATTTAATAACCGTGTCTGTATTTTATACCTAGTCAAAACAATTTTTTTTTTGTTATAGCAAAACATACCTACACATTTTTTGAAAATAAACTGCCAATTCAATCAAACATACCATAGGTAGGCTACAACTTTATAGTTTGAATTTTTTTTTAACACTACCTATTGTTTATTATTTGTATCTAGATATTTACACAATGACCTCGCATATAAATATGATGAATAAATGCAAAACTCTATTACCGATTTTATCGCACAATCTTCATAAAGGACAATCAGGAAGGATTGGTGTTATTGGAGGTTGCGAAGAATACACAGGAGCCCCCTACTATGCAGCCATTAGTGCATTACGTACAGGAGCTGATCTTGTGTATGTGTTTTGTTTCAAATCTGCTGCTCCAGTCATAAAGTCATACTCACCAGAACTTATTGTGTTGCCATATTTAGACAGTCCTGATTGTATTGACCGTTTAAAGCCCTGGTTAGAAAAACTTCACTCTCTGGTTGTCGGACCAGGACTTGGTACTAGCCCTATTGCTCAAGATGCTGTTAGGCGCATTTTTGAACACATCAGTAGAGAATCAAATTTTAACAATAAAAGAATGCCCATAATAGCTGATGCAGATTCTCTTAATGTAATTGAACCAGAAACATTCCGATTTTATAATGGTTGTATTTATCTTACACCAAATGTTCACGAATTAACTAAATTATCTAGTAGACTGATCGGGCGCCAAACCTATGAACCAACAGTGACTGATGTTCAGGCTCTTATGAACAAATTAGGAGGTAATTACGTTATAGTACTAAAAGGAGCTGAAGATGTAATAGCAAACATAAGGGGGACTTTAGTGTGTACTGAACCCGGTTCAGCTAGACGATGTGGAGGCCAAGGAGATATATTAGCCGGAAGTATGGGCACTTTTGCTTATTGGGCTTCCAAGCAAACTCACTATTGTGATGAATTAGATCCAGAAGTTCTTGCTGCTTATGCAGCAAGTGCACTTACTAGGCATACAAATAAAATAGCGTTTAAAGCAAAGGGTCGAAATATGATTACAACAGATATTGTTGAATTGTTACCTAATGCTTTTCAAACTTTATTTGGCAACTGAAATAAATATGTGTTTATTTATGTATTATTTTCTTTTCATGTTACATCAATTGTTATATTATACAATAATTTTAATTGTTATATTTTATTATTGTTATTCCTTAGCACTAATTTAAATCAATTTAAATTGTTTTTAAAGGAATTGGTTAATAATCAGTAATTACTTAATAATTTGTTAGTATCATATTTAAATATTTAATACACATACATTATATATTATTGATAAATCGGTGCTGTATAATATGTATGATTTATATTGAATAAATTAAATATTATCATTGTTATTCCCAAAATACAGTCTTGAAACATCTAATTTGGATGAATTTAAGTATATAAAAATAAAATATAGAAAGTTTATTCGTACATGTTTATTTTTAATTTCGTTAGATAACACAATTATATTTTACAATAGAATTACATGATGACATATAAAGTGTTTTCATTGAAAAATAAAAAAAAATTGTAACATTTCTTTAATTTCTTGCATATGAGCTTGAGCCTAACATTTTAAATTCAACTTTTAGGGACCCTTAAAAAATCAATTTAATTGCAAATGGAATTTTCATATTTTAGTAACACTAAATTATAGTATAAAATAATAAAAATTTTTCAATATTATAATTACATGATCAAATAAAATTTTAAAATGTGTTTTGCGACTACATTTTCAATTTAGATGTTTATTTTTGAAAAACAAATTATCACAATACCATAACTATTTTAAACAATTTAGTCCTAATCTTACCTAATAGTTGATTGGGAAACTACATTTAGGTACTATAATTACAGCATAGGGGCTACTTAGACCAATATTTTTGTGGGTGCATAAATTGTAAGACCTAGATTGTCAATTACTTGTTAAGTATTTTTTTGTTGTTTTTTTTAAATACTATAGGTGCCATAAGTCTTATTATTTGTTTAATATCATTAATTGTTATAGAATAGTTATAGGTAGTAACATAAACATTGAAATATTTATGTTCATAAAAAAGCACAATATTTTTTTGAATAACACAATTTAACTGTTTACTTGTTTTATATGTTATAAACAAGGAAACAATGTAAACGTTCTTACATTCAGAGGTCGTACTGCATCTTGCCATGGATAAAGAAAAGTGTCATTACCCTGTGTTCAAAGTTATTTTGTACATTTATAATATAATACTATTATGATTATTGTTCCACAAATATGTATTAACTATAATATGTATCTGTGACTTGTTCTATAGAACAATAAATAAGGTAAAGATTATTTCATAATAATATGATAATACCTACTTATTATATCCCTCAATATACACATACAGTATAGGTATAGTACAACATTTTTATATTTGTTGATAATATAGCGCCAATCTCACTTTTTTGCAAATAGGAGTTACTTGTGTATCAATAATCACTGAGATACCCCAGTAAACCCCCCTAATTGGGCAAGTATTAAGTTTAAAATGGAAAACCATAATTATCGATTAGATATAGGTACTATAATTAATATTAATTATATGTTTAATCAATGCAATAATGAAGAAATCTGAAATATAATACATCAGTGGACAATTCTATAAAAAACCAAAGAAATCGTTCGGCTGTAGAGTAGCTCATCAGCCATCAGTGTAATAGGTGTGTCAAATTTGAGTTGAACAGTAAATCTTTGAATAGCAAAAAATGATTCCGAGTTGAGACAGTGTGGCAGGTACTACTTATTATAATTTATTTATATTGCTCTTATTAGTAAAACGGTATCTAGGTTGAACTATTTTTTGCCAAAAACGTCACACAACATCACATATTATGTAATATTCACAATATTGTTATTAAAAATAATTACTAAGTTAAAATTTAACTTATAAGTCAAACCCAACATACAATAGAACGGTGAGATTAGGTTCATGATACCTATAATACTATAATAGCTGAAAAATAATCTAAATATTTTGAATTTTGTTTGTATAGAAAGTAATAAAAATAATATATTAACTTAACTAAATAAAATTATAAAATTATTTTATTCCATTTCACTACCCACTGCCCTAAAGTACCAACTATAAATCCAATTTTCTACAAAAACCACCCTCAATATTGAAGCATTTAAATGTTTTACTGTTCTTAATAAAGTGCCATCAGATACAAAATATAACATAGGTACACAATGTCATCGTAAAAGTTACAACTGATCTTTTAAAATATTATATTATACTTAAGTAATACAATTTTATTAAATTGTATTATTATGGGGAGCCATAATCGGATCCCAGGCCAATCCCTAGAATACCCTAGAAGGGAGGTAGGTACTAATCAATTAAACTAGACATTTATTTTTCAATTATAGTTGATGTATCATGTGTGAAGACAATTATGTAATGGATGTAAACAAATTGGATAGGTAGGTACTTATTTTTTAAATTACACATCATATGAAACCACAATAGGTACTTTATTAAACATATTTCAAACCTCTAATTTCAATAATATTCTAATTGCATAGGTAGGTACCTATCATATCAGTCATATTGTAAGATTTATGATTGATTTTAAAATGCATGTATAGTTAATAAACAAAATTAACGACATCACATGATTATTTATTTAAATGCATAAATGTTTCATATTTTTTGTATAAAGTTTGCCTATTGAATAATAGTATAATACCTATTACTTAACATAATTCTAACATAATGCTGTTCACCTAAAAAAATTAATTCAATGTTTAATGCTATTTGTCTATGCATACTTATTGCTAAACAGAAATAATACATATTATATATTGGTAACACAAATAACCATAAAGCAACAATAAACTGTATAATTATTGTTAGTTGTATTAATAAACAAATATAACTTGATGAATCTTTACTAACATAGGTACTTGTATAGTTCAAACCATGTGAATTGTTTCATTTTAAATTTTAACTGACACACAACAGATTTATAGTTTTAATTAGTTTACAAATAATAAATACAATTAGATAGATACCTATCTAATAGTACCTATATATCATGACCTACCTAATAATATAGGTATATATAATTATACCTATAGGTATATGTTGTCTAAATTATTATTGACTGAATTTCATTCATAAGCACCTATACCACACAAGTCTAAGACTATTTTAGTTAGAGTATATTATCATTAGTACCTATCTAAATCCATAAGACAATAACTACTGTATACCAGTTGCACATAATTGTCGGTAAAAGTTAAAGGGAACCTTAAATAATGAACAGTATTTTTAACATTAAATGTTTAAATAGTGACAAAGATTGGTTCAATTCAATCAAATTATCTGTAACATCAATTAGATTTTTATGCTACTCAAAAAGATATTCAATTTTCCAACAACACGAATGCTAAAGGTCTGGGAAGTACATAAATATTATCTAAGAGAAATTACCTGTGTGACAAATGTGGTCTTGGACAGTAAGACTGATTTGTCTACTTCAAAAATTTCAAAACAGGCCACCATGTGTGTGCAGCCACTCTTGATTTATAATTTCTCTTATTAGACAGTAATAACAAGGGTATCTTAAATTGTTTACTATCGCATAAATAAATATATTATTCTTTGTACTTGATAATAAACTGTTCTACATAGTAAAACTTAAGATACAAAATTTTAAAATCTGTTAGGTATGTTTATATTGGCATAATACCTACAAAGTTATTGATTTGTTAAAACACATTATTTCAATTGTTTATCACAGATTAATTTCATTAAAAACTATCCAACGATTAAATGAAGTAAATTATTCAGTTCATTACCTATACGTCTTGAACTAAAAATGACAACACATTAGACTCTTTAGAATGTAGTAAGTATAAATATAATACACTGTGTTTAGATTATATGTGTCTCCTCAAGTTCTAAAAAAATATCATATATTTTATTACTATTATCAAATATTATATTATACCTCGTATCTATAACCAGTATTTTTGGTTAATTTAATTATGTTCTAAAATTATAAATGAATAATAGAAGATGCCACACAAAAGTATATTGTTTATTAGTAACGCACTCGAGTTTTTAAATAGCGCACAACAGTTGTTCTCAAATTTTAATTATATTTTGAGATACTTAAAAATCTCAAAAGTTAACCTTTATTTTCAAAGAATATTTTACTTTTTAGACAAAACAAAGCTTCTTTTTCCTTAATTTTTTTCCTCTTCAAGTATTCAAATGTTGCAATTTTTAAAGTTCAATCAATTTCCCATATATTTACAAATATTTCATATTTTTCAATTTCAGTATCCATTCCAAATTTCAGTTATTGAACTCTTTCTTTTTCATGTGATACCTAGGCCACTATAATTTTCTCAACTTTAGCAGCAACCCGATCAATTCAAAACTTCATCAAAGTTTTTACAGTGAGTATTTTATGTTTTTAAATCAAAAATAGATTATATTAACCCTTAAATTACTTCAAGTCCTGAAATGTTCATTACCCACAGGTTTTATAAATTTTACATACATTTTAAATTATCAATACAGGTTAGGTTAGGTTAATATTAATATTTGTTTTCAATTAATTTCAATAAATCAAATTCAAAAAATTACTACCTATCAAATACATACAAAAACAAATTTATTATTTGAAATATAGATATTTTTTGTTATTGATACTATTATTTGGCCTCCTGAAGTTTCTAGTTTAATCGTTACTTCATTACCCACAAAATTCCATAGAAAAAATCCTTGTAGGACCTACTTACATATTTTTTTATAATTTGCGTTTGGTTTTATACTTCAAAGGAAAGCCTTTATTTTACAAGGAAAGAACAACAATCTCAAAAAAGATAAGGTTAACTAGGCAAATTGTTGACTGTATTTTTTTAATATTGAACAGTTTATAATGTTAGTAAATAATTATTCAGTTTTGGATATTCATTTGGTTTTTAAAATCATCTAACAGACAACAGTGTTATTTTAGCTTTCAGTGTACAGAAACAGAAGTTACCCAGAACATATAGTATGTGAGACATTTAATGAAAATCATCATCTGTATATATCGGTAGAAAAAAATTTGGATACAAAATTACGCTTTAGATTTAAAAATAGGTAAATATTCACTATGAAAACTTAGTTGAATTTTCATTCAATTTATAGATTCTTAGGGTTGTGGAGAAAGTTGAGAAAAACTAGTTTGTGCTAGAATGTGAAAAGGGAAGAGTAAAACAGAAATTTAAAATGAGTATTGAAGTAAAAAAGGAGGGAAATTAATTAAAAGTGGATACAAAAGTTGCAAATTTTTAAGACTTGAAAAGATGAAAAATTAAGAAGTAAGTAGTTTTTTTGGTCTAAAAAAAGCTAAATATTTTTTGGAAAGAGTTATTGAAAAAAATGAGAAAAACTCGTGTGTGCTAGTACATACAATATGTAACAACTAATAATAATTTTAAAAAAGTACATGCATATAATAATAATTAAAATAAGATTCATCAAAGTCATATTGTTTGTGTTTGTGCTCTATTTTACAAGTATGTCTTACCTATATATTATTTTATAATATAAAGCCAACTTTTTAGTTGATGGGGTTTATCACAAACTAATAGTTACAAAACACTATACTTTAGTTATATGTTACTGAAGTTTATAGTTTATACATTAATGAAATATTTTTAAATAGATAAATAATAACATGCAACAAACAAGACAATTATACTGAAATTATCAAATAAAATTAGATAGTAAATAATAATATAAAATTTAGGTGACATTGTAAATATATAAAATTTAAAAAAAAATATATAATAATACCTTAAAAATATGAAGTTAAGTTTAACCTATTAGATTTTGGATACATTTGATCAAAGAACAATGAATTGAAAAATCACGATATTATTATAAGTAATATCTGTACAAAATTGTTTGGACGGAAACTAATAGGTAAAACTTGCACATCATTAATTTTAAAGAAACATAAAAAACAAATAAATAACAAATTTTTAAAAATAAAAATAATAATAATTAACGATTACAGCAGTGATCTGACCTAATAAAAATTCATATTAATTCCCAAAAAATTTAAAAAAAAAATTATTGTATTTACTGTTATTTAACTCTATAATCAGAGTAGATATCTTAGAAAATATGTATAGAGAATATCTATATAATACCTATCACCAGCTATGTTCTACAGACATGTTATACTCAATAAACTAAAACACTATTTCAGGGAGAACTGTTACATACTATTTTTATTCAAATATTAACGTTAGCACGATAACATATTCTTGAATCAATACATGAAACATTAGATGGACGCCACTGATTATAGCTAATCAAATTGTTGAATTTTGTAAGGTTTTCTACTGGCATTCACATTTAATAAATTAAGATGGGAGATAATTTATATAAATATATTTCCAAAACCTATGGCTAATGGAGACTCAACAGATTTTTTTTTCATATAAAATATTTAAATTATTGTCAAACTGCTATGAGAATATATGGTAACAATTTTAAATAATACTTCTTCATATAAAATGTCAATAAAGACTAGAAATTTGGTAGGTTATTAAAAATACAATTATTTGTTGTTACTTGTCAGCATGGCACAGTATGTAGAATTTACAAGCCTTGGCCTTGGTTCAATAGTTTAACAAATCATCTTTTGGATCAGTATTCATTTCTATTGTCCTTAACATAGATTTTAGGAACTAAGTGTGTTTGGCTGGCTGCAATGATGTGTGGCAAGGCTTACACACCCGCACTGGTTTCAGTATTCGTAATCTTGATATTTCAGATTCATACTTGCTACACCTAAGAAAATGCAATATTATGGTGTAAGAAATGAGGAATAAATAAAAGAAATAGATTAATTAATTATTACTTTGAGCAAAATAATTGTCCACAATTACGACAATGATGACGTCTTTCGTACAATGAAAATCGAACATCACATAAATTACATTGCTCTGCTCCTTCATCTTTCAACCAATGATCAGCCACACCTTTCCCAGGATGCTCAGCTACATTCCATGTAAATACTCGTCCTCTGGCATCACCAATATATACTGTCCGATGATCTCTGTATTAAAATACCAACAATAACTATGGTATCTTAACATAAACAATTTTATTATTAACATACTTTGAAATTGATATGCATGTTATTGAAGCTGGCTCAGTGTTGTCTTTACGGTCGTAAGCTGTATGCATAGTTAATTTACTGCGAAACACTAACTGACGCTGCCACTGAAACCCTATGGTAAAACAAAACATACATTATTTTATTGTAAGTTTTTCATTTATCAAATAAATAATAAAATTAAATTGTACCATCTCTCAATCTATGTAAAGGACTGACAGGTTTGGTTTTTAAGCTCAAATCATCTTGGTCAACAACAACAAATGATTCTATGAGATTAGTTTCACTTTTACTCAATCTTAATACTGAATCAGTGACTGTTAAAGATTCTTGTTGAATATTTGGCTCATCAGTTGAACTTGATGTGCTACACTCAGATTTTCGAAGCAATGGATTAGGTTTCATTGCCCTAAATCAAATTTAAGCAAAAAAAATAATTTTGATTTGTGATTACAAAATCACTAGAAAAGAGTAGAATACCTTTTTTTCCTCATAATGGGAACTGGAGGTATTGAATCGTTTTCGTCAGCAAAAACAATTTTATCTGCTCTGGCAATTTTTTTTATAGGGGTTTTTGGTTCCTGTTCTGATAGACTACTCTCAGACCCACTTTTCATTACTGATCCTTGTTCATTAATAGTTTCTGATGATAAACTTAATTGTTTGACCAGTCTTTGAACAGCAATTGTCCGTGTTTTTAATGTACAACAATGCTCACCAACCTCTTTATTCTTTTCATCACTACAATCTTTTAATACAGAAGATTCCATTGATGAGGTATTCAATGGAACTTTAGGAACTTGCACATATTCCATTGACCACATCTGTAAAATATACATCAGTAGTACATACACAATTAAGATAAATATAATTATAATCACTAAGCACATACTCGAACAACTCCATCCGATGACCCAGTGATAATTACATTTTGAGGATCCCAATCGATAGCTTGAGAAAAAGCTACACATAATATTTGTTGCATTCTATCAGCCCGTCCAACACTTGTATCTACATTAGCTAATTCTTCACCATTTATAGTATAAACATGTAACATAGTACCAGCACATGAAGCTATTTGGCCCTAATAATTTTCAAAACATTAAAAAAATTGCAAATAAATAATCTATGTTTTTACTAACTGTTGAGTTATTAATTGCTAGTGCTGCAACTGGAGCATTATGTTTCTTTAATTGTCTCACAAATGCTTTTGTACATAAATCCCAAACTATAGCTGTACAATCTCTGCTACCAGACACAACAATATTATATGTATCACTAGCAGCTAAACAAGTCACAGCTTCTGTATGACCATACAGATTATCCACAATTCTTAAAGACTTGTTGTTTAAATCTAACTCCCATACAGTTAATACCTTTAAAAAATGTAAACAATGAAGATACTATTACATATGCATAAAATGTATTTTATATTACTGTGCTAGTTCCAGCGGTAATAACAGTCTTAGATGTAGGGCATACACAAGTTACAATTTCACCAGGTGATTGACTCGAGCTTTCGCAGATTACAATTGGTTTATCAGTTTCATACTGTGCTAATCTTAAACTATGATCAGCAAAACCCCAAGTTATAGTCTTATTGAAACTTGGTGGCATTAATGCTTTATTCTGTTCAACTGCTAATACATTCTTTTCAACTTGGAGAATTTGACCAACGGGACCTTTTAGTTCTAAATCCACATGAATTAAAATAATAAAATAATGATTCTTAATTAGTAATGTCTTAAAATTAAGAAGTCTAAATTACATGTATTGTCTCTATCTTACAAACATATAACATATCAAATTTACATTCAAAAAAACCAAATTTGTGTGGTTAACTTTAAGATAAATATTTAAGAGTGATTTGACCTATTATCATACTTCAATATATAAATATTAGCTTATAAAATAGCCTATAAATATTAAAAGATTAATAAACTCCTATGAAGTGCCTTAGACCAATATTCTTACCTTTAAATATGATAATAAGTCAATTCAATCTTAATATAAATGTTACACCAATAATCAAATGGCTCACTCATTTACATATAAAGTGTTTGAATCACTGGCATATTTAACTAGTGATACATTTTCTGAAAATCTTCTGGGAACCCAGCTGTGACGAATAATTGTACAAATATTTAGCTACTTTGGACCATTTTTATGGCATTGCTTGTATCCACAAGTGACGAATATTCAAAAAATAAACCAGTCATGTAACCCAGCTCAAAAGACAGAGACAACAAATGCAAGTTTTGTGACATTTTTAATACCTTTGATTGGTTGTAATGATGGTTTTAAGTTATCTAAATGATAAAAAAAAAGTTTGTCGGCCAAACTTAAATTCGTACTGGAATTTAAAATTGGATTAGCAGCATCAAGCATTGATGCTTTATTAGTTGGTTGTTTTTTATTCGGATGAGGTTTCTTAAAAAGCTGCTTTGGAATTTGACCAAAATTATTTATAAATCCAATGGTTGCATTTTTCTTTAATGGATCATCAATACTGCATAAAATAATTAATATAAATAAAAATTATAGAATAATAAAATTGTAAGCAAAATTATATTTTATATACTGAAAAAAATGTTCATTCATATGACATTCTGATTTTTGATAACTCAACTAAATCGAATACACTTTTCCAAAAATAAAAATTAGTACATTTACCTGTATATATCAACATTCCCTTCATAAAATAAATGGTGAAAAAGATTACAAGCTTGTACAGCTGGTTGGCCTAACTGTTTGTAGCCAAATATTAAATCTATCCATTCATGAAGGTGCTGAGATACATATTCTGATTCAAGCGCTGCTCTATGTACTCGAATAAATTCATGTGGATCATCTTTAGCCCACGGAGGTAAAACTACATCATTCAATTGCACTCCATTTTGCTTACATCCTATAAATAGTTATATTAAAAAAAAGAATTATACATGAATAACTACTTTAACAAATACCCAAATCAAAATTATTAGAATTAACCAAGAACTCTGGTAGATAAAAGAATTCTGGTACAAGCTCTTTGACATCAGCCATGTTAGTTTTTGAAGCAGATAACCATGCTTCCCGAATACTATTGAACATACGATCAGCCAAATCAAAATGTCCACCCTAAAATAATATATTAATAAGTATTGTATTAATATTCATATTTATTAATGGTGATATATGTATTATATATAGAACAAAAAACCAACCTGTAGTCTGAGAAAATGCTGAGTAAATGGTTCCATTCTAACTAAATACGAACATACTATCATAGCTGATGAATAATGGGTACCAAAATGATACGGAGGAGTCTCGCCGTGAGGATCATCCCATTCACGGTACCTAAAATAAATAACCAATACATTTCAGCTACCATATTTTATATGGAAATATTTATATGATAATATAAACCTCAAATATCAATAAAATATATTATGTAAAATAAAATAGGGGTAAAGTCAAATAACACATTTTAAAATTAAAACAATGTCTGTAAAGATCAAAAATCAAATAATGACAATATGGTTTTATAAAAAAATACAGTAATGAAGTATCTTGAATGTATATTAAAAGCAGAAATAGACTCAAGTATAATATAATAACATTTATTAGCTATGAAATGTGATTGACAAGAAACTGCAGGTTTATCAATTTATTGCATAAAAGAAAATTGTATTTCTGAGATTAATTTTGTTAGTGTGTAAAAGGACCTCATATGAATATCAATCAAAATGACTATGATTATCCAGGTATACTGGGTTAAATATTACAATCAACGAGCACAACAGACCACTGCACTAATTTTTTTTATCAAGCAATTAAAAAAAAAATTATAAGACATTACTATAAAATCAATATTTTACTCTTATGATTTAGGAAGAAGAAATAAAATATAATAAAATAAAATACTAACTTTATAATACAAAACATTAGGTACCTTTTTAAAAACTGCTCAAGACGTTGAGGGCATTGAGCACCCATTGGTTTAGAGAAGTCTCTAAAAATGGCAGAATTTGAAAAGTCGAGTACATCAGATTCATAATCATTTAGTATCCAAGGAAATACTGGATACTGCATAAGGTCATTGTAACTTCGTCCAGCCAATGTATTTAAATGCATTAAGTATTGAAAATTAGATATTTCACCTTTCTATAAAAATATAATCCATTTTATACTTTAATAAAACTGATTAATTTTGGAATAGTTAATAGAATAACTAATAGATGTATGTTTGGATTATACTTATAACTTACCACCCATCTTTGGGTAACTGTTGTTTCTCCCATTAGGTTTGAAAGAAGGCTTGTGCTTTGTTCAACATTTGCTGTTCTTTTTTGCCCAGCAACTGATTGTTGAGCATTGTCTGCAATTGATGTTGAATATGCCATGAATCTATAAAATAAATAAATAATAATTAATTGCTTGATTTTAATAATATAAAGCAAATATTATTATGTACTCTTACAAGGTACTACAAAAAAATTCTTTCAAAATGATCATATATTAAATCTATTTACATTACAAACACAAATTAATTCTAGGGACAGTAACAAAGAAAGCATATTAATCCTATTACATACATATCAAATAAATGGGACTTTACAGTACATCATTAAAATGTTACCTATTAAAAACTTTGTTTCTTAGTTTTTTTGGTAGTGCCAATAAATGGTTACGTCCGTCAGCAGAAAACAATTCTACAGCAATTGGTTGTAATAAGTATCGTCTTTTATGCACTTCCCTAAAATTTGGTAAAACATTATATAAATTGAGATCAATTAATAAAAATCATATTATTATAATGAGTATAAACCTATGGTAAGTACCTTATATCATCATATGAAAACTTAGAACTTTGTTTTTTAATTCGCACACGATTTGGACTTCCATTTCCAGGACTTGGTAATAATGGCTCATACGAATTAGGTAATAAAGTGTCAATATCTCTAATTTCTCTAGTTTTAAGTAAAGTAAAACCATCAACAATATAGACATGGACTTTACCAAACAAAAGTAAGCCCTCATATGTATCTAGACCTTGAATTCTTGCACACCGAAACATATGACTAATCTAGAAAGTAAAAAAATATATATCATATATTATTAAACATAAATTATTTACAGAATATTGATAATAATTTTATTATAGTCGTACTTTTTCATTTGGTTCCAAAAGTCTAATAATTGTATGATTGTCATCTGGCGGTGCTTGATCTTCAATTCCACTTTCTGTGTCATTATCATCCATTCCATCATCTGGTTCAGATGTTGATCTTCTAACAACTCTTTTTAATCCTTTGAAAGGTAATTCTAAAAATTCAAATAAATATTACATAAAATAAGTGATATATGTAACATGTATACCAGCAGCATATATAGGGGAAAGATATCTATACTCTATTCACAATGAGATCATTACTCGGCGGCCTAGTTGTGCGAATGGGCGTTGCTTTGTTTCATAGCAGTGCCTGATGCGTTGCCATAGTGGGGACGGTGTCTCACCATATGTCTGACCGCCGCCCGACAAAAACTGGTCGCCGCCGAGTAATGATCTCATTGTGAATAGAGTATATGTGTTCATTTTAATTTTTACTATATACAGGGCCACAGAGACACCTCATCAGGAGAGACTTTGAGACTGCGTCTAACCATAAATAAACAGCCAGCTACTTGTAAATAATAATTAATTAAAAATAAAAAAAGGTGGGCAAGTGGGTGTCGCTCTGCTGTACAGTAGGTTACAAGTGGGTCACTGTATAATGGATGGTATTAAATTTGAATTCAATGATATAATATCATTGTATAAGAAAAACGATTCTGAGCGGTGATGGTATGTCAGTCTATGTATAAGGCATATTATATACATATCTATGGTATTAAACAAAAAATTGACCTATAATAGGTACCTATAATAAATTCCAAATTAATCATATCACAATATCCATTAGATACTTATAACGCGTTATACATCAACAAAAACCGTGATACTATCATAGATATATAATAGTACACTTTAGAAGTTTCAAGTACCCACGAATAGTATTATTCAATCACAACAAAATAACTAAAATCGTAATTCTTGGTTTAAATATGAAATTTTGTCTAAATTTGAAATTAAAATGTCTGTAAAAAATAAGTGTGTTTATATATTTTTTAGATTTTTTGGTTACAGTATGAATTATTTAAGAGAATCTTTGTTTTAAATTTTCAACTCTTAGTTATAAAAACTGAACATTTTATAATTTTTTAATTCCAACGATTGATAATTTTCGAGATTTAGATAAATTTTGTCAAAATTCCAACTTTAAATGCATTTTTCAACTGATATTGTAACAATATATCAGGAGCCTTGTATTAAATTTTTACACTTTTTGGCCCAACAGATAAAACTTTATTGATATTTATAGAAAAAAAAACTAAAAAAAATTGAAAGCTGTAAATGTCCATAAACAACTCAAAAAGGGTCAAAATATTTTCAAAATTGTATGGTGTATAGGAAATGCTAATATAAACATTCAGGGAAATTTTCATGTATCTACAGTTATTCGTTTTTGAATTACAACAAAATAAGGAAATCGCTACATGAGAAATCGAGTGAACATCCAATGTTGTAAAAATTTGAATTTCAAACGCTCATAAAAATTTAATTTGACTGTCCGGTAGAGATTTTTTTATTGATAAAGGTAGATAATCTTATAAGGAATCTTGTGTTTCATTTTCAAATCTTAGATTTAAAAAGAAAAATTTTTACGAATTCTTAACTCAAAATAATTTGCTAATTTTCGTGATTTTTCCATATTTTGTTAATTTTTGAACTTTAAATGCTTATAAAAAAAAATTGTGACTAAGGATTTTTAATATTTTTCATCTGCCTTTGAAACAACATATTAGGAGCCTTCTATTAAATTTTCAAGCTTTCGCAACCAACAAATAAAATTTTATTGATATTTCTAGAAAAAAAACTAAAAAAAAATGAAAAATGAAAATGTCCCTAAACAGTTCCAAATAAATCAAAATATTTTGAAAATGTTATCGTGTATAGAAAATGCAAATATAAACAACCAGTGAAAATTTCATGTATCTACGGTCATTTGTTTTAAAGTTACACCAAAAACCAAATTCGATTTTTTGGAAAATCGATTTTGCGTAAAAATTCCCGTTTTTCCTTAATTTTTATGTTGTTTTTCCCGGCGCTTGTGAAAACTACTGGAAAATGTTTACTTTTGACCCCCCAAAGTACCAACTAGATTCACTTTCCTATCAGAAAAGGTACTATTGAAGAAAATCGAAGCACTTTTACTGTCCCAAAACGTGATGACAGACACAAAAATATAAATAAAAATATAAAAATATAAAAAAAAACATACATCATTGTAAAACCAATACATTCATCGCTCCGCTCAGAATCTAAAATGTATAGAAATATTTTTATCTGAATTGAAAATATAATATATTAGTTTTCTTTGTTTATTATTATTGAAGGCCTCAAAATCTAAAACCTATAAATAGTTATTTTGAGGGAAGTATTATTTAAGTAATTTAATTTTGACGACGGTCGCGGATTCTGTGAAACTGGCGCCCAACAGTTTCAATTGTAACATGTAATGCTTGGAGAATAAGCCACGTATTATAACCGCTATTGAAACTGGATTTAGGACAATATATTATGCTGTTCTGCTGCTAGTTGTACGCCGTTATAATTTATTATATTTAATTATATTCTAGAAGTTATTTAAGTCACCCAGAATATTTATTCACGAGCTACTACTGATTATAGAGTATACTCAGCATAAAGAGTTTCATATAGTTTCAAATATTATAAATGATGTACCTACAGATCACCAAAAAAATTACCCTAATAATAAAATTAATTTCAAAATACACCACTGATGTATACTAATTTACTATTTTTAATATTAGTACTAAAAATTTTATATTTTGATTTACAACCAAAATCATATAATAATAAAAAAAAGATGTAATAAACTTTTTACCAGTATCATCTAGATTTTTGTCAAAGTCAAAGGTATCTTGACCAACAATTTGTGTTATAAATTTATTATTTTCGTTAGATTGTGGAGCTAAATTTTCCATATCTATTAATGTCGGTAATTTATATTTTTGACAAAACTCTTTGCTATCATAACTTGTAGCCACACGATACTTTAATCCTTTCTAAAATATAACAATTTAAATTAATACATTTGTAAGTATTCAATAATTCTAATAATAATAAATTACATTGTCTCCAGACTCAAGCTCTGGTCGATATGGGTAATGACTATAGAACTGATGGTTTTTTACCATTTTTTTACGCATTCTACATGGACCTTCTGTCATATCTAATATCCACTTGTCTAATCTAAAACCAATAACTGTTTAGTATACAGAAAACCAAATGTAAGGATTTCTCTCTTACTTGCAGGAAGTAAAAGGACCCCAAAGTCCTCTTTCCCTAGTTAATTCTTGTTCTATTAAATACCATTGATCCAGAACATAACGCACAGTAAATGATTGATGTTGAGCTTGCCGTGCCATTTGCATAGAAACTAATTCGCATACTGCATTTAAACCATGGTTAGCCCATGTAGACCATTCACTTTTAGTAATTCTTGATAATGGTAGTGAAATACTTGAAAGACTTCCACTTTGCCAACGGCTTTCATCACGTCTAAGTACTTTGCCACGGGATGCAAGTCTAGTTAAGCCACCAGTAACTTTCTGTATTTTCTAAAAAATCAAAACAAAATATTTTTTTTTTTTAAAACTACTTTATTATCAATTGTACATATTTATCTTTTAATCATACTGATTGGATTTGTGTTTGAAGTTCCCAAGGCATTTTATACAATGACTTTTTCTCCATGTCAATATAAGTTAACCAATGTTTTTGAGCAATCTCATAAATAAGTTCACGAACCGAATGTAGATCTGGAGCTTTGTTATTTGGTGACATTGGTAATGGAATTTTGAAAACCTAAATATTTATTTAAAATAAGTTAAAAATAAAATATAATAGGTATATATTATATATTAAACAATTATACCTAATACCTATACTTTAATAATTCAGTTTTAGAATAGTTAGGGATCACCAATATTTATTACTATAAAATATATACTAATAAAAACATACATTTATATATTTATATGTCAATACAAGGTTTAAAATTGAAGTTGTAAAAACTATTAAATTAATTACCTCCTCAATAGCTGGCTTTTTTGATATATATAATTCTTCCCAAACACGTTTTGCAGCAACTGCCATCAAATTATGTCCTTGTTTCGCTGTTTGTTCTTCAACCTCTGCAGTTTGATTTGGATTTATATGCCATGTAGTTTTTGCATTTGTATCCAGTCTATGAAAACACACACATTTATTTAAAACAAAGCTCTTCTAGACCAAATCACAAAATATATTTTATTTATTCCATTATATAATTATATTAGATTATAATATATTACATTATTTTCATATCAGAAGTCAACTGCAATAAACAATAAATAAGACACCCAATAAAATCCAGTTCGTGATTGCCAGATCCAAATACCAACGTTCTAAATTAAAAAAAAAAAAAAACATTATTTAACTATTTTATAGAAACAAAATTTAATATTTTTTTTACCTATTAGTGGTAAGTTTGTGTAATGCTTCCAAAACTGGCATTTGTGAGGCTATAGAATCCGTATTTCTTGAAAGCAAATACAAAGTAGTTCTATTGAGACAGTGGTAAAATCCTTCCATGGGAACAGAACATGGTCTTCGTTTTGCTTGGACAATTAATTTCATAATGAAATCAAATACTTCATGTGCGTCTTTTATTAAAACACCCTGCCATAGTTTGTCAACGACACGGCATGTTAAATAACAAACATTTTGAGGAATGTTTTGAGAGCTACCACCAGGAACAGTGGACACAGCAGCTTGTTCTCCAATCATAATATCAGCAGCTAACAAGTGATCCATTAATGTTGATAGCAGTTCAGTTTGGTACTTTGATACTTGAGATGAAGTTGCACCTTCTGGTGAAGCCTATAATGAATGTTTACATACATAAATCAAATATTTAAACAGATACAAATTTTATCAAAAATAGACTACTTACATCAAGAACTAAATCTAGGGGCGGTAATGATTTGCTATTTATAGGTAATAGAAGTGAATCAACAACAATTACTCTTAAGAAATCAATAACAAATTTTCTAGAAGGATGTACAGTTAATGACTGTTCTTTATGAACAATTGAAGGAGGAGTTCCATCTGGTGTTTTTATAAAACAGTCATCAATTGGTGTGGATGGTTCACTTAAGTTCAAGTTTGTAAATGGAAAAAGTGTTGCACTTAAGGAATGTAAAATTTCAGATGTCATAAATGCTGGCATCCAATCTGGCAAGTTATGGTACAGGTAAAAAAGAAACTGAATTATAGTAACTGGATGATCTTCTAACCATTCTTCATATTTAATTCTGAAATTAAAAAAAAAAAACATTTAGCAAATTGTAATACTAATTAAATAGATAATAATTAAATAATTAAATAAATTACTCTCTGTTATCTTGGTTTAAGATTAATCTCACAGTTGACAAAAGAGCAGTGACAGCTTCTGGACACAGTACAATACGATCACTAACAGCTGAAAGTGACTGACTAATTGGAACACCAAACATAAAAATCCAAATGCCATCAAGATTCAACTAAAAACAATATATATATACATAATATAATTCATAGCATAATTAATTTAAAGTGATATTTTAAAAATATTAACTTTTTTTTCATTAGGAATTGTCTTAGCTGGTTGTCCCAACATTAAAGCCATTAGAAAATAATATAGTTCAGGCAGTTCAGTATGATAAGATAAAAACCAAGATAGGTGTTGAAAACCTGGTATGTTTAATGCTTCCATTTTGTTAAGTATGTCTTTATTGTTCTTTTGTAAGCTTGGAGAAAGTTGGTAATCTAAAATGGGTAGTCAATATAACAAGATTTTTTAATTGACAAATATAAATCATATAAGTATTATAAGGAACATTACTTAGCATTAAATTTGCTCTATTATTTTGCAAAAGTTCAGTATTTAACAGCCAACCACCATTACTGGATGCTTCTCTAAATTTTACCATTAATGAAGGTACAGAACACAATGTAGTAAGGATTTTATAAGTCCATATTATTGAAGAACTATGTATATTTGATTGCATAAATAACAGTACCCAGTCAAATCCTAAGACCCGAACAAGATCATCACAGAACCTACAAGAAAAAATATCCGTGATACATATTATTAATGTGTTATTGATATGTTTACATTAAGATTAAACATTATTTTTATATTTACCCAGTACAAACTAAGTTTTTATTAGTGAACAAAAGGGAGTGTACAAGTTGAAGATAACGATTACGTAGTAATATTAGACAAATGGTTTTTTCTTCATTAGTCAATTCAGCATTATTTTCCGTAGTCTTTATTCTTGTTTCAAACTCTTCAACTCTAAGACTTGATTCTGTACTGAGGCCAGTGTTCAATGTGAACACAATATACTGACCAAGGCTTAAAAATACAAATTACAAAATACAAATTTTAGATATAAGTTAAAAATATATAATTAATTTCAACATATTCATATTTGTTTTTAAATTCATTATCGTAATAAAATTAATTAAAATAAAATCTTTTTTTTAATTAATAAGAAAATAAAATTAAATAGGCACAGAAATAAGTAACAAAAAGTAACATTAAAAATAGGTTTTAATATTATATAATATTATCTGTAATATTAAATTGTACTAGAAACAAATTATTTTTAGATTTTACCAGAGTCTTTACAAAGTTTGTTATTAAAGATTTTAAACGTAAGTATTGAAATTTTCTACAACATCAGTTTTTGTTATTTTAATCAATAAAAAATAAACATATTATTTAGCTTGAACTATTTATCAAACCTAGTGTTATTTGCTTTAAAAAAATCCTAAGTGACAAAGCTTAAGGGGCCTCACTACCAAGTCTTTTTTTTGTCAAAAACTACTGTTTCTAATTCCAACGATACGTGTCGACAATTATCGCGATTTTCATTCTGAAAAGATATTCTGATTGTCCGTAATATATACAAGGGAACGATCGAGCCACATTTTTAATTTTTGTAATTTAAATTGCAATAAAAATTGTAAAAAAATAAAAAAAAAATACAGAATTTCCAACTTAAATATTTAATTAACTAAATACAATTTTGAAAATGTGCCTCGATCGATCCCTCGTACATGTTGTGGAAAATAAGAATATTTTGTCAGAATGAAAATCGAGGTAATCGTTGCGACGTACTGTTGGAATTAGAATCGTATGTTTAAGTGAAAAATAACTAATAAGCATTTTTTCATGATCACAATATTATTATATATTGACATGTGTGTGCGAGTACGTGCGAGAGCTCTCCGCACCACTACAATTGACCCGCATGGACGCCACACACACTAATAATCATTTACGACTAACACATAGATCTCGGGTGGCGACGACGAGATTAGAAATTGCCTAAATGATTCTCCTTAAATTAATGCCTTTGCGAGGCCCCTTAACAAGCAAAGTGATAGTAAAACTTATAAAACCTAATAATTGTATCACACAAAAAGTTGTTTATATTAATGCTTGATAGTTGATACTAAAATTTGTATTATCAAGTGAATATTTAGTTATTTACCATAATAAATCTTCAGTTAATGGGTGTTTTGCTAAAAGTGCTCCAAGTAATGAAAACAATACTTCTGTAGTCGATGACGTAGAAGTATTAAAAACAATTGGTAAAAAGTTCACCATTTTACGAACCATTTCCATGTTTCTTAATATTATTAAATTGTTTCTTTTTTCATTTGAGTCGGACACCAATTCATATAACTGTTCAATAAGTGATCGTAAAAGACCAGCTGGAACTTCTTGCCAAAGCTAAACAATTTTAAAATAAAAAAATAAAACATTATTAACAATTTTAATTTAAAATATACATACATTTAACTCGCAAATCAAATCATTAAATGCAACAGCATCTGGTATAGTAGGGGCTTCAACACTTCTAGTTGTTATAACTAAATCGAGTATGATGTGTAGAATATGGGCATTTAACATGTGTTTATGCCTACGTAAACATAATGCTAAGAGTTGATATCCACGCCTACGTTCCATTTCTCGTTTTGCTGTCATATTTAAATGTAGTACTCCACTTAAAGCTTTAACAGCCGCATATAAGCTTTCCATATCTCTTGCCATTGCAATTAATCCTAGTGACAATAAAATAATAAATTCATTAATTATGTATACAAATATAAATATGCAATCATTTTCTTACCCAATAATACAGAACAGCCTCCAATGTTATCAATCAACTTTAAAACTGGACGGGGATAAAATGTGCGTACTCCTAAATACCCCAATATAACACCACCTAAACTTCTAGCTGAACCAGCTAAATGTCCAGCCGTGTTGTGCATTATCCGAATAGGAGTAGCATTTTCGTGAGTAGACATCCCAAGCTAATATAATGTTTTAATAAAGTAAATTATAGTAAATAAATATTTATTATTGATCACAATATTGTTTATGATTGATTTAACCTAAATACAATTCAACCTAAGGGAATCTTGAACCTCTCAAATGTCCAACAAATCCAAAACTAAATAGAGTATATTATACAGAGTAATCCATTTATTTCAAAACTTTTTTTAAAACATATTTTTGTTAATTATAGTTTTTTAAGTATTTACATTTTTGAATTTTGAATGACAACATACAATTTTCATTTCATATACCAAACCAGTACTTCAACTTCGATAAATAAAAATTGAATTATGAACATGTGTGTAGTTATTTATATGTAACTTTTAAAAAATAAAATGTTTTAAAATTACATCAAATCATGTAAGAAAAATATTTTCAAAAAGTAAACATTTTTTGAAATAATGAGGGTAGACATTTAAATGGATCAATCTGTATATATTTGATATTTGGTTTAAAAAATTAAATAAAAAAACGAGCGTGTGAGCCCACCATTACACTCTGGGGAAGTAAAACTTCTTTCATAAGTATTGAGGCCCGTAAAAATATAAGTGAATTAGGGAAAGAGTGAGAAAAATCAATACAATAAAAATAAATGTGCACGCCGCGGAGCTTGACTTGCAAAATAAATAAATAAACAAAGTGTCGTTTCATTTTTCGTTACAATTTTTTTTCCTATTCAACCATCAACGTCGACAAACTCAAAAATATAAACTGTTAGTGAGGGATCACAATACATTTTTTGGTGTCAGGTGTAGGGTCACCTGAAGGAAGAGTTCTAGTAACCAACCCGGAATCGAGTACATCAGTGGACCTCGAGTTCAACCACGTTCCTGACACACAATAGGAAAGGAGGAAAGCCGACAACTTCACTCAACACATCAACTGCACTCAACTTGGCCAAGTGGCCAGCATGCAATGCAACCAGGACCAGACGCAATGAATCACGCATTGTAAGTTGTTATTTTAATACGCAATTATATAGTATATGTCTGAGAGTCCAAATAGGTGTTGGGCAGTAGTTAAATATAACTTTGAACTTTACGAACAACCATCATGATTGTAACATTAGGAATTGACACCGTCTAGCTCGGCATACCTAACTTTAGAGGAGGTACTGAGGCAGTTTTGTCCTCATATATAACAGAATGTGATTACGTAATGGAAAATATCCACGAAAATCTTGTAACGGTAGTATTCCAAAATATAGTGTCCAAATTAAAGGGATACGCTTACCAAGCTACACGTTACCACAATTTTACGGACTGACCAGAACTTAAAAACCACCTTTGTAACGTTTTTGGGGCAGCACATTCGATTAATTATTTACAATCACAACTTAGCAATATTAGGCAAAAATCCGAAGAGGGCGTATGTAGTTTCGCCGGACGAACAGAAAAATGCTATCACGAATTGGTAGGAGCGCTAACCCTAGGACTAGAGCTAGCCTCAGCCGCAGCGGTAGCCTCATCGCATAAAACAGGAGCACTTACTGCCTTCGTTAACGGGGCGCCAGAAATTAGGTCATTTTTACGAGCGCGTGACGTAGCTTTTCTCGAAAGAGCAATTACTATCACGATTGAAGAAGAACAGGACCTTCAACACAGTAACACAACATTCCGATCTACACTACAAAAATCGAGGACCTTTGAAACGTATTATGTCTCAATGGGACCTAACTGCAAATGTTAACCTTGCTAAGTATAAGGAACAATTTACCTATATAGAAGCCTTTGTAGACAAAACTGAAGCAATGTGTAAAGAGCATATATATAATACTGACAACAATTATAAAAACTTACTCTACCCAGCTAGTGTTATAGTAAGGGACATACAAAAAAAAAGAAAGACCTAGTATTAGAATCGATAGGACATACAGTAGCTAAAAGAAGCACAATGTGAGGAATGATAGCAAAAACAGCTCAATTACTATACCGAATATGTAACCTGGAATGAATTAAAAAATGTAATTTTAACATAGGACAAACGCACAACGCTGAGCAAACGAAATAAGTTAAAGAACAGATAAAAATCGTCAAATTAAACAGCGACTTTGACGAACACGAAAGCTATAATACGTCATTTGTAATGAATGAAAGCTTTAATGTATCTAAAGATCAACAATTAAGAAATCACTTAATGAAACATTTTATGATCGTTAATTTACTAAATACAAAACACATGGTAGAAACCAACACTTTGATAGAAATTATACAACAAGCAAAAATAGGAGTTATACACCCAAGTATGATAAACCATTCTATACGAAAAACAATCAGAGCGGTAAGCGTAGTCTTTATAATATTATTATTTTTTTATTCGTTACTATGGTGGTAAACAAACGTGTCATTTCATTTTTCGTCACAATTTTTTTTCCACCTACACTTCAAGAAAGAAGTTTTACTTTAAAAATAAAAATGTTTTTTCAAATTTTTATTTTTGACTCATTCCTACTATTACTAATATTACTTATCAGTTATCATTTATCAATCATGAATTACCTGTTTTGCAATTGATTTGCTATCCACTCTGCTATATATTTTTCGTATTTTTGCCAAAGTTAACTGAGAAACTGCCCTCGCATTCAATCCAAAAATTACTTTCTCTTCAGATACCAAAGGTCCAATATGTTCTAAATCTTATAAACAATAAGCAATATTAATTGAAATTAAACAATAATTTAAAAGTAATTGTCAAACACATGATTGTAACCCATGAATACATGAAAATGTTTTATAGAAATTGTGAAACTATGGATATCCAATTTTAGGAGTAAAAGCTTTAATGCGATAGATTATCACCGATTTAAAATAAAAATTTTAAAACTATGACTAAATACCTTTAATATCAGGTGCTTGTAGACTTCCAAAATAATGAGGACCAAGCTGATACAAAATTTTTATAGCATGAGGATTTAATACCTCTTCTAATAAACAACATGGCCCTTGTTTCCATGTCAGTTTTGAATATTTTCTCCAAATTGGAGGAGTTCCTATGTATCCATAAACAGAAGACGCAATTGTTAAGTTAGCTGCACCACCGCCTGGATTTTGAGATATATAATGCAGCTGAAATAATATTTAAAAAAAAATTAATATATATTTCTTAAATAAAATTAAAAAATATTACTTTTTGAGTATGTACATGTTGACCATCCATATACAAAGAAAATGATGAATTTTTTAATACGGCTCTATTTAAAACTAATACAATATGATGCCACTGTCCTTCTTGTACAAAATCTGGATACCAAATTCTTACACATGAATCACCAATGACCTCTGGCTCCCAATCAGCATTTGCTAAAAGTTTTATTAAATTATGGTAGATCATAAATATCAAGTATAAGAAATTATGCAACATACTCATTGATATTGGAGTCTCTTGAGTGGATATGGTAAGTGCTCTATCTCGAGCAGACAACACTACTGCTAAACACACTAAATGGTCTCTAGTATTTTGCACATTTCTTATTAAGGTCAGAAGTCGAACAGGGTGAGGGTCACTTCTTGGTTCTGAAAATTTTTCAACGCACAACCATGTTGAATAGCTAAGACCACTCTGAGGCGGAAACATTCGGTCACCTTAAAAGGAAAAAAAATATTTGTATATAATAAAAACAATATGTCTTAAATATACTTGTTTATACATAATTTTATGTATACTAACCAGTTCCTATTCCACCAATTACATTCATATCAGGAGTAGTTAATGTAGCGACATTAACAACTGAAGGTCCACTAATTGGAGACTGTGGAGCAATACTGGGTAAAAATAAGCATCCGAAACCTTCAGAAGACAAATCCATTTCAAAAAATGGCGGCAGTGCAAGCATACAAGGATCTCTAGGGGTAGTCATAGATACAAGAGTTTTAACACGGCTTAGTGGTACTGTTCCACCTGGTTTTTTACTACTGTGGCTTATCCAACAGTCTAGTAAATCTAATGGGACACAACAAAGGGGTTCTCCAAGTCTCAAAAATTCTCGCAAATCCTTTGGTTCTAATAGCTGAATAGCTAAACGCTCTAACATATACTGAAACACTGTATGAAGTGGATGAGTTTCTTCCAATAATGCTATTCGTCCTACTTTTAAAACAGTAGTTGGAAATCCAGAATCACATAGAAGCTGCTGATTTCTTTCACCACGAACTAAAGATCTGATTACTTCACCTATATAAACTTGCAATGTAAGTGATAGCTAAATAAACAAAGAATATATTTTAAGTTATCATACACTTGATTATAGTTTAAAAAAAAAATATATATATATATATATAATACCTTAGGAGCCGTTGGATTATAAATTGATGGTAGTAGTTGTAACATAGCAATAACAACGCCGGCATGAACAATAATGGGATCTGGTGCAGGAGGTGTTAAGTTGAGTTGTATTGCACGACGATTATTATTTTGACAATCTAAAGGTTTTGTAGCCACCTTAATGTAGTTAAAATTAGTATTTGAACTCAGATTTTATTAAATATTAAAAAAACAAAACAAAACAAACTTCGCTGTATCGTCTATGGGCAGGTGACTTGAATGATACAACAGTGGTATTACTCTGTTTATCATACAAATCAAGAGCAACATCATAAAGCATTCTCATTATTATACAGGCATAAGAAAGAAACTTTGGAACATTGTCAGTAATTCTGAAAACAAAATGTTTATTGATTAAGTTTTTGATAATTATCTAGACTTGCTTTTCTTATTAAAAATCAGTTATAATATAATATACAATATTAATACACTTAGTATTATTTTTCAATAAAATTTTATTTGAATTGTTAAAATCACAGCACAAGAATAACGTTATTTTTCATACTCACTAAAGAAACTAAATTTATATTAGTATATATAAGAAAGTCAAACTTTACTACCTATTAGCTATTTCCATTAAAACGGACATGAATCAAATTAAAATTTACTTTTAACTTATTTTGATTAATAATTCTTAACACAAGAATTGATAGTGAACATATGAGATCTTTTTCATTTATTCTCTCTATATTATCAAAAAAATAAAATATGATTGAAAATGAAGTTTAAGTTTTTGTTACACTGATAAAAATGAAAATGTGTATAAGATATAATGTTTATTAAATTATTTTAATGATACTTACACAGGGTTGATTGTGTTGCTTGTGAATATGTTATGAAAAACATTTTCTTCTAATGATGTAGTTATTAAATCAATATAGTCATCTAGTTGAATTTCATTTGAAAAACAACCTAATAATCTTAATGTGTCACATAAACTTGTCAAACAAATCTAAACAAAATTATAATAAATACATAAAAAAGTTTAAAATTTAATTTATTTGATTCAATTTACTTCTTGGTGAAAATATTTTGCGTTTGCTGGTTCAAAGCGCATAGCTATGGTAATTGTATTAAAAATTATGTAAGCAAATTTTAAAGCTTCTTGATCAACACGTTTTTCATCTGAAAACCAGCCTTCCATTGACACCAATGCACTTATTACATAAACAAAACCATCTACTTTACGAAACATGGTTCTTGTACGGTGACTTTCTTTCATACAACTCAAAAATAATTTTAAAATACTAGATTTTAATGGTAAACAAGTATTATCAGCTGTATGGAGGGTGCCCAAAAGTGTAGACATTTCTTCTTCACCGCCAGTGCTTAATATCATTTCTCGTAATATAGCTAAATATTACAAATAGGCATGTGTTTAATTATACTTCCAAAGTTTTATTTTAATAACAAAGAATAGTTATTCTCTGGGCCATGAAATAAGGAACTTGTTTTGCTCATACAATTAAACGCCAATAAATATTCCGGGACTCTATACCCCCCCCATCCCACTCAGGTAGTCCTGGTGGCATAATAAACATGTTACTGAGTTTTCTATTAATGTCAATCGGTGGTCGATGAACATTTTGTCAGTTGTGTTAAAAGGCAGTACAGGGGATATGAATTCTCGGACTAGTATTTATTGAGGCACAGGTGCCTTATCTCATGGACAGGAGTATAAGTACAATTACCTGTAGCATATTGACGAGTTGATGGATATTCAAGTATAATATATAGTACTTGAGCACCGCCACATTCTTTGAAAACTTTACAATTTTTTGGTGAAGATATCATAAGATTAACTAAACATTCTGCAGTTAAGTTGATCACCCGTTTTAGATCACCATCGTGTTTCTCGTCTTAAAATAACAAAAAGTATGTTATCAAAATATAAGAAGTTAATAACAAAAATACATGTAGCTTCCAATTATTTTAAACAATAATGTCACCAGTTCTAGAATATATTTCCCTATAAGAATATAAATAATTTTAAATAGTTAAAATATTACCTTTTGATTCACAATCGGAGAGATAGTCTTGAGTGTAATTTCTTAAATTGTTTGATAATCCCTCAAGTATTCCAACATCTCTAAATACATCTTTAAATGTATTATTGTGCTTAAGTATATTTAATAGAGTTTGTAAACAGACTCTAGTACATTCTGTAGAGCTACATGTTTTTAATAACTGAGCCATTGAAACTAATTCTTTAATTGGAACAAAATTAAGTTGAAAAACAATGAACTCTAAGAGCTTGAAAAATTTATCTTGTATCTGTTGATTTTTTAAATGTATATGTTCAGTAAATTCTGGCAATGTATTTTGTGGTTCCAATATAAAGTAATTTGCATTATCAGAATGATAAACATTTGATATTGCATCAAGAATTGTACAGCATAATGCACTAGAATCAGATCGAATAAATGTAGTTTGGAGAACATTGAATGCACATATATTCCGTACACTTTGACCTAAAGTAAATTATTTTATTATAAAATATATAAGATATATAAGAACACTAATAACAAATATATTTATACTAACCACGCCCAGTAGGTTGAGGTAAAGTAAATCCTAAAAGTTGTAACAATGAGTCAGGTTGTTCTTGATTTGGTTTCAGTTCAATATAACCACTCATAGAAAGAGATGCAATTATCAATACAAGATTCCTCATCGCTTCAAGGGCTTCACTAGATTCATCATTTTCCAAACTGGATATTATCACAATAAGGGAAAAATTATTTTGTAAAAAAAAATCATTATTTATATTTTATTTGATTAACAAGAAAAACCAAAACAGAAAAGAATTATTTTTATTTTACCTGACAAGAAAGTCTGATAGGAATTTATAACCTTGTGCTGTATTAAAGTCATCAAGTAATACTTGTGATATCTCAGATGAATCTTTTAAAAAATAAGATACAGTAACAAACATATCAACTACTTCTAATGGACTTAAATCTGCACATTGTCGCATATTTTCAACACACAATTCAATACAGTTCTTTCCTATATCAAAATGAAATATTTTAGTTGATATTATACTAATATTTCATAGGTACTTCAAAAATCCAATTAAAAATGTACTTCCAAACATACCATGAATATACTGTATAACTTTTGGTGTAATTCCATGTTGTGAAATTGTTATTAAAACTTCAGCAGAAGATTTCCTCCATACAGCATTATAAGAGGGACAAGAACTTGTAATAGCAGAGAATAATAAAGATAAATCATCTTTAGTGACTAATTCTTCGGCTGGTAAATGATTACTGCACAGTCTTACTAATATTTGCACAAAAATTTTTTGCAACAAAATACGACGTTCTTTTGGAGTAAAATCACTTTGATCAGTCTTTTTATCTTCATTCTCTAAAGGAGGCAAGTCGAAAAAAAGATACAAACATTTTACTAATGTTGAAGGAAGAGATGCAGATACCATTATCTAAAATAAAAATAAAAGATGTATAAAAAAAAACCTATACAATTGTTATATAGATATACTTTTATAAGAGATGGTTGGTTAGTTGCTGCTAATAAGTTTAATGTAGATAAAAGCATCCATCCATTACTAGATTCTTCACAGTTCTCTATTTCTAAAAAGCTAGCAATAGCTCTACTAGCAGTTTCTGTTGATTGATTAGACGCACGTTGTCGGATTTCTGCAACCATAAGAGCTGACATTTCTGAGCACCAGCTATTAATGTCACAAAATTTTTCAATAATTTCTGCACATGAACTTCTGCCAAAAACCTAATTAAAAATAATGTTTACATTTTAAAATGTATTTTATTTAATTTAATAAAAAGATTTACTTTGCAAAATAAAGGAATCATAGTATACAGTTTTGTACTACGTTCTTTGTCAGTTAGCAGGTGTGATGTATGAATGTAATCAGTAAAAAGTTTCTTTAAATGCATTAAACCAAGAGCAGTATGTTGACTAGAATCTTCTTCAAACAGACGAGAATTTTCACCAGTTGTAGATGTGGTAGTATTACTACCACGCAGTTTTCGCATGATATTCATTGTTGGTGAAATAAAAATATCTAAAGGAATCGAATTGTTAATCAAATATTATCAAAATGATGCTAAAAAAAAAATTAAAATATATTATTTACTAAATAAGTAAAAAGATTTCATATTTTAGTTGTAAGTTCTCAAAAACATTTTTATACATTCCACTAATTATTCTAATCAACCATTGATGAAAACCACATAATATTCATGAATAATTTAAGATTCTTTTTAAATATAAAAATTATTATTACCTATAGGTTAATCAAAATTTTATAATTTTAAGCTTAATTGCTGTGTTTAAGAAAAATTAATAATAGGTATTGCTGTAAAATGTTTTTAAAATGAAAAATTAAGTTAATGGATCAATAACTGTAAAGATACTATTTTTGTTATGAAAATTACATGACTATATATTTACTTTACACATTTATACTTATTTTTATCTATTCTATTTTAAAACAGATCTTATGTTGAGTAATGAATATGTAAAACAAAAATACATTTTGGAACAAATTTAATATTCTCACCTCTAAACCGTTAATCTTCAAAGGTAAAGATACCCATTATTAGACTTACATTTTGACTATTTACACCAAATATTGGTGATCAAATTTATGAATTTAAGTTCCCAAATAAATATCTCTTCATCTTTAACACATACATTAATACACTGAAATAGCGTCATATCACCAACAAGTTGAAACAAATGTTAATTAAAACATTTTAGGTATTGTTTTCATTTTTATATTAATTAATAATTATCCATCTATTTATTTAATTTTTCTCATAAAATTGGACTTTCTTATCAGAAATTCAGAACGCCTTTATCGGATTATCAACAAAAAAATCAATATTATCAAGGTCAGTTTGAAGTTAGATACGGACATATTACACATACTATAACAGCGCTGCCAGTTGTAGGACACTAACACTATAGAAATTAATTTTAGTCGTGCCTTACACAGTTACACACTTACACCTCCAGAAGCTATAACAATATTGTGAAATGAAATATTTCATTAATATAGTGATAGCCGATAGGGACATGGGGCAGGGATGAACTGGGACACAGTCAGCCCACTATTAATGAAAAAAAATCGGCCCTATGCTATTACAACCTAATATTTAGAACTTTATTTTTGACTTTTGATTACTCACTAATCGGTAATCAAAAGCCAAAAGGTGATAAATGTTTTTAAAATTAAAATTTTTCAGTTATAACAATGACGTATTTAGGTTTTTGCCAAGGGGGGATATGATTTTATCCAGTAGCCCCGCGTTTAAAGCTAGATGCCATAAGTTAGGTTAGGTTAGGTAAATTTTGCATATTATATACAGCTACAGGCTATACTGGGTGGGGGGGAGTTATCCCCTTGATCCACCAGTAAATACGCCACTGAGAGGTAATCAGGGACTGGAGCCGTACCTAAAAGAAGGAACCGATTCTGAAACCGGAACCTTTAAAATATTGAGAGCCGAAACCTTTATTTTAATAAATAAAGTACCGGAACCGAACAGGAATTTTTAAATTAAAAAGGTACTTTTAGGTTCATAAATAAAATTATTTTATTTATCATAATTTAAAGGTATTATTACTGTTAGTGTATAACCTAAGTACGATCATACCTATTATGAGTTTTCTAATATTTCTAGTACTATTAATTAAACCCGCATTCCGGATAGGCATTTAAAATGATTACACTTTTCGGTACCGGAATTATTAATTGGAACCGATACCTTTATTTTTTTCATCAAAGAACCAGAACCGAACCGGAACTGTTACTTTATTTTTGAGAACCGGTACCGGAACCGATACCGATAAATTCAAAAGGTCCCTGGTGGTAATGTTAATTTGTTTATTATTTTTATTGTACTTTAAAATTTTAAATCATAAATTATAGATATTATTAACATTATTAAGAGTATAAATGTGATGGATAGATGAATAATTTTTAATTATAGTTTATATAAAATATGAGGATTTATACTTTTATAATTTGACACCATGGTTAAAGATCTATCTTGGATCGTAGGTGGCACCAGTCGGCAGTCACCAACCTAGGGTTGTCTCATAGATTTACAAATATTTGTAATATTAAATGTATAGCCATATAGACTATAGGCACAAGCAGGGGCGTCATTTCAACTTTTTTTTTGTTGGTGCCAAAAAGTTTGCAGGCCATTCAAATCATTACCAGGCCACATATTTTATTTTTATTTTTGAGGGGGAAAGGGGTCAAGTAGGGACAAAAACTGTAGAATATTTGGGCGTATGTAATTTGCTCCAAAAACAACCAAAAAAAAAAAAACAAATATGCAATTTGCGCCACATCTAAAATTGTATTTTGGTAATTTGTGCTACTTTTTAAGTTTGTAATTTGCGCCAAATGAAACTAAATAAAAAGGCAATATGTAATCTGCGCCATCGTTTACCTACAAAAATTGTAATTTGCGCCATAGTTCACCTTATTGAAATTGTAATTAGCGCCACAAGTAAAACGAACTCCAATACTCCATGTATATTAAATACCTAAGTAAATTTTCGTTTAGTAATAAAACATATAAAAATCAGTCATATTATAATTATAAATAAAAGTATTCAAGTAAAACGAATTCCATGTATATTAAATAAGTAAATTTTCGTTTAGTAATACAATTTTTATAATATAACACATAATTTTTGAAATAAAATACCTAGCTTACTCACGTTTTTTATATTTCTAGCTTGATGATGAAACAAAGTATTTTCTGTCAATTTTATTTTGTCTGTAGTCTTCATATATTTGTTGAAAAGTTTCCAAACGAATTTTATTTTTAGTAGAATTTCGTTTTTTAAGATGTATACTTTTAATTTTAATCAAAGTTTAGGTTTGAAATCTTTTCAGTATGTCCAAAAAGTAATCGGAGATCAATTACGTCTAATTACGTCTCTATTATCAGTAGAACACAACAATATTATATTGGACACACGTCGTTACGTATTATTGTATATCCTATGCGATATCAGTAAATATATCTGCTGGTAAATTCCAACAATATTGAAGTTGAAAGTGTGGTGCAAGGTACATAGGTATTCCCAGTGGCGTTTTCTCTGGGTGTGCAAGTTGTGTGTTAACGCCCTAAACATTGATGTCATACATGTGTGTAATATTGATATTTGTAATTCATATTAGTATATTACATGGTTATATAATTTTATTGTATTTACAAAATCTTAAAATAATTGTCTTGTAAAAATAATAATATCAAATAATAAACTATTGTCTATTTTAAGCTCTAAACTCAACCATGCGCCCGCGCCGTCTGCAGCTACGACGCCGATTACGGAATAATATTGTATTATGTTGTGTTTGTGTAGGGTGTAGCCGTGTAGGACGTTAATGATTCGAACAACGACTTGTGGTATCTAATATCTCATATTCGTAATTTGTCGTGATATTTTCGGATAACTTCGGTGCCATGTTAATACTAGACCAAGTCGTTGAAAATGAAATTAACGACTAGCCACTACTCACTAGTCACTAGTCTAGCGCTAGCTTATACACTGTGTTTGGACCGTTAGTGGGGATCGTCGCGGCTGCACGTTATCTAGACACGCGGTAGCGTGTCAAGCCAAGTTCTAGCTAACAGAACTGGCGAGCAGCACCGTGTGTAATATTACACGAACCATTTGGAGCCACTTTTGACCCCCTCATAACTCAAAAACTATTCCACATAAACATGTCAAATTTGGCTCATATATTGAGACTAACGAGATACATATGTGCTCTAAATTTCATAAACATACTTCAAACCGTTATTTAGATATTAACGTCCGAAAATCGTCATTTTTATCACTGACTTACCTATAGATCAAAATTCTAACCCAGTTCCAGATGACCTAGAAAGTTCAAATTTGGCATACAGATAGGTAGTTAGGTAATTACAAAGGAAAAAATCAGAAACTTGAAAATTTTTAATTTAAAATTTTTTAATTTTTAATTTTTTAATCAATTGATTTTATTATAATTTTGCAATTATTTTATCTGTTATGTTTAATTTTTCAATTTATTAATGAATTGCCTCTAATTTATTGTAATGTAATGTAATGTTGACTTAAATAACCTTTCCCGTATCGCCGCTCCAAAAATACGACTAGCCGAATATGTGTCGATATTGTCGACCTGCGCGCAGCAACATACTTTTTTTTCTATCTATGTATTTAATTAATATTATTTTTTTTAAATATTACAATTAAAATAATTAAATAATTATTCTTACAAATTATGAATTATCCACCCAACAGTAGAAACTACAGTCAATAAAATTATGATAATTAAAAATATACTCAAAAAGAGTTAAAATAATTGTATATTAATTTTACATATATTTTATACTCTGTATATACAACGGAAAATATTTTATAATAAATATTATTATTAATATTAGTAACTGAATTATATTATATAGTAATAAACTTTATTTATAGAATACGTCATGGCTAGGTTAGGTTAGGTTATAATAATTTACATACAAAAAGTAATGATATCCCACCAAAAACATATACATATGTAAAATGAGAGCCAAGTTCAATACTATAATAATATATGCCTTGGTTGTTGACTTCAACGACAAAAGAAGTGAGATCTAAATGGGTGCCAAGTTAGGATAATATATTTAAGCCTAAGGTCTGACTTGGCTACGAATTATATATTATAGCATTTGCAAGTTCTAAAGCTTTGAGTTCTTATTTTATTCTTCGGAAAATCATCTTCACTCTTCCATTACTGTTTTAGTAGGTACCTACTTTTAATAATAATTCGTATATGAAAAGTAGCCAAGTCACACCTTAGGCTTAAATATATTATCCTAACTTGGCACCCATTTAGATCTCACTTCTTTTGTCGTTGAAGTCAACAACCAAGGCATATATTATTATAGTATTGAACTTGGCTCTCATTTTACATATGTATATGTTTTTGGTGGGATCCTGTTTACGTCGTAGCCCATAGGTACTATACTGCAATACT